AGCGCCGCGCTGTCGGAGGGTCGGTGCTGAGGGAGCGCCGCGCTGTCTGATGGTCCGTACTTAGCAGCCTCAGTGGAGTAGTTCTGGAGGAAGGCTGCACAGACTAACAGCTTGATCAATGATGAGGGTCAGTTTAGATGATGTTTTAATAAGAGGAGAGAGTGTATATGGGGAGGGAATTCTGAAGAATTTGTTACAGGTGGCTAGAGACCCAAGTGAAGGCAGTGAGCATTGTGAAGATCTCAGTTCAATTGAGGTGGTATTAAGGCTTGGGGATGTTTATTGAGGTCAGGATAGAAAAGTCCTGATACTATATCTGAATTATTTGTTGCTTAGAATGGCAACGTACAATGTGAGGAGGAGAGTTGCCGCCCGCTGACCTGCAATAACTTTTTCAGACGTCCAGGCCAGTGCTGCCCCTCGTGTATAGGTAGGTAATATTCTTCATCCAAACTGATGCCTCCAGTCTAAGGGTGTAAGGAAGTCCAATCCTGATTCCTCAACTGTTAAAGATTTAATCAAATTATTTCAATTTACCAATCTGATCGACTCCGGTTAACAGAAAGTACTGACCCAGTTTCTGCACTTAACACAAACTACTGTTTATTACAAAGAAATTGGTTATAACCACAAGAAAACAAAAATATGACTTACCAAATTATAACCCTACTTAAGTTCTGTTAGCCCAACATATGTAGACAGTCACAGACAAACTAACAAACATAGATTATACTGGAGAAACTTAGCAGGCCTGGTAGTATCTGTGGATAGAGAAACTGAGTTAACATTTCAAGTCCGATATAGATCTTAAGACATATCAGACTCAAAACATTAACCCTATTTTTCTCTAAGCAAATATAGATGTGATGGATGGAGAGAAAGGAAATTAGGGTGATGCAGTTTAATAACACCAGTCCAAGGATCTGATGAGGTGTCACATTTGTGTAGGGCGTAGAAGGATGGGTTAGTAAATTTGCGGATGACACCAAGTCGGTGGAGTTGTGGATAGTGCGGAAGGATGTTGCAGGTTACAGAGGGA